ACCATAACTCTAACACGACATCGGTGCAACAAACTGCGAACCATTGAGCTATCAAGTACGCAGTCGTTGCAGCGTTGCACACATAGAATAAAAGCCTCCATAGACAAAAGCACCGTACAATTAACCGGACATTACCCCAGTTGCTGTTTGACAACTTCTTTCTTTGTCAACTGTACTACCCTGGCGTAACCAACAGCAGCTCCTTAGCCACCACTTACACTTATTATACATGAGGAAGACTTACCTGGCTCGTGCTAATGATGATGGTTGTATAGTTGTCGTACGGCTCCATATGCCAGTGGCTGGTGGTTGCTAGATGCCGATCTCGGTACGGTTGTTCCGCATTTGGCCGCACTTTGCAGCAGTTGCCAATGTCTTTTAGTGTAGTTCATTCACTTAGTCTTCCATACTTTGTTTCACACATGTGTTTGTGCAGGTATATAATGCACGGAGTTGTGCGTCTCGAAACTAGGTGTCTCGCCCCCAGTGGATTTGCACAATTTTGTCCTTCTAAAACCATGCACGGATCACTTATGTCGTTTTCGTTTCCAGAAAAATGTTTCCTTCTCATCGCCCTCCTCTTAGTGTTTGTGCGTAGAAGGCAAGGGGGAGGTTGCATTTTGCGTAGAAACGAAGTCGCCATTCCCCCCCCCCCCCCCCCCACATCTTACAAATGTTTAAAATTGTTCCTTAGTTTCGAGCACACGATTTTTTCCCCCCACTGGGAATTCGTTTTCCGCACATCTATAAACTTCTCACTGCACTTTTATTTTCACACTTATTGCCTTATGCAACCAATTCGTCGCCGATATTCCTTGCACTATATATAAATGTTTTAGGAATATATCAACGCACTAAATACAAAATTTTATTTTCCCTGACTTTCGATTTACGCGCAACTCGTGGTTGTCGATTCAGAACTTCTTTGAAATGGCCGATGGGGAGTGTTGCCAGATTTTTATACCCCTGCACTGCGGAAATATTCAATTTGGAAGAATAACGGGCACTGCGTCTTTTGGACTAGTTCCGTTACTCTTCCAACTGGAATTTGCCGCAGTGCAAGGAGGAATGTCAAAAAACAATGTTCGAGGTGGTCCGGGGTTACCATGTCCCAGTTACATTGAGCCGAACCGGTTGGTAAGCAGCCCTTCAACAGCTTTGCTTCCTCGCAGGATAAAATCTATTGGTTTTCAGCTGTCACAATGACACAAGTCATATCAGGGCGATATTTGTGCGGGATTTTATATCTTGACATCCGCTTTTTGGAAGTATTTCTACCGGGCTTAACCGCAAAAAATATCTCTGAAAATGGCTAGAATACAAATTTCACATTTTCGTGGTGAATACGAACGTCAGAATTTTATCTAGCTCGTGGAGCTAGGTCAAACTTGACAGCTTCTAAATGTAATCAGCCTTATCATGAGCTTCATTTTCTCCGAACCGGTTCACTTTCCAACTTTTGGTTTCCATGCATTTACTATGGGCGGATGAACAATTTTCGGGCGAAACTCAGGATAAGGCAGAATATTGTGGGCGGTAATAAAGAATGAAAATCGAAATTGAATCTGATAAAAACAATAGAACGTACGTTACTTGCAAGTTATAAAATAGATGTAAATTTGACAATTTCAGTAACACACAAAAATAGAGCTTCGCACAAGCGTGTGTTTGGTTTGTTGCGCAGGCCGTATGTCAAAATATGAATAATAATGCCGCCAGTAAGTTTTAGTGTAAAGGAAAACGTAGCTGTCAACTACGAAAATATCGAACTGGTAGGCACATACTAGTTTATGAACTAGTATTTTTTCTAACTGGTTTGGGTTTTCACTGCAGGGTGCTTTGTATACATATACTTTCTTAATTGCATATGAAAAAGTATCCGAGATGTGCAAATCGCCATCCTTGCAGTGAAAAATGCTTCATTTTAATACGGGCGTATTTGCATTGAATATTTCCCTTATACGTAGTGTATGTATAATGGAAATATTGTTATGGTACGCATACATTGGGAGCAGCAGTGAATGCAGGCGGCATGACACAATAAAGTGCACTATGGCTAGTAATGTCGGCTGGGCTGGGTTCTTGCATTCACTACTGTTCCCTACGCCATAGCAGAGAAAAGTCATGCCTTGTCAAACATCCCAACGGACGGACACACAACAATTCAAAATTCCAAAAAAAATCCGTTGCAAAACAAAAAAAAGCTACAAAAAGAACGTTAAATTTAAAATTCAAAATAAATTGAAAATCAAAAGAAACCAACAACCTAACTACGAATCGAAATAAAAAGATATGACTAAAACAAAAAAAACTATGGCCGAATATGAGGCAGCATCGCTGGTATTTTGGTGCCTGGTGCTGGCCCACCCTCGCCATGGCTGCTGGCGCAACCTAATATCAGCAGCCCCATTATCAAGCCCTGATGTGCCTTCCTACATAAAGAAAAGGGTCAACATTCCCATTTTATTACAATTTTATTAATAATTCATATCCTTAAATCTAATTCTTAAAACTAACCATCCTAACGTCTAAAAGTTGTTAACATTAAAAAAATAAGTAGGCTTAATATCTAGGTATCTCCTTAAGTCTAGGGTAAGTATGTTAGGATCGTGGAATTAAGGTAAGTAGTAAAGTAAACTTAATTCAGGTAAGTAAGATAAGTCCGGCAGGTAAATCTGAGGTAAGTTAGGTAAGTATAGCTGAGGAAACAAAAACCAAGCCAAATCAATTTAAATTTAGGCTAAGTTAAGGTAGGTAGTGTATGTCGGTTTTTTCAAAAGGTATCTTAAATAAAAGCAGGTAACAAAAAGTAATTTAGACTAAGGTAAGTATAATACTAAGTTTTAATTTATATTTCCCTGTGCTTCTTTTCACATAATATCATTAATTTTATTAAACTCTTTTTATTTTTATGGTATTATATTGTGGCCTTTATTTTGTTTTATTATATCGTTGTAGTTTTTTTTAAGGTTTCGTTAATTATATATTTTAGTCCCGGGTTCGTTTTCGTTTAGGTTTTAATCTAATTAAATTTAATTCTACGTAATTAATTTAAGTAATTTAGTGGTATTTTATGTAAATAAAATTTTGCTTTGTTTAGTTTTATTTTAGTTTTTATTTTATCTTATGTATATATATTTCGTTTTAGTTTATTAGAATTTTGGGTTTATTTATTCATTTAAACTTTAGCTTTGTTTAATTTAATTAAGTTTTAATAAATTTAATTTAATTATTATTTATCGTAATTTAGTCTACTTGTATTCCAACTGGTTTGATTTACTTTATTTAAGTAAATAAAACCTGACTTTACTTGGTTTCTTAACTTCAAAACGAAATCTTAGTTAGTCAAACAATTCCATTTAGTTTTCTCTTCATTACTTTTCTTAGACCTAAATTCCTATTTCTTCCTACATATATATACGCGTATGTGTGCATGTGTATATATATACACAGGTATGGCTGCATGAATTCATTCAAAACGGCATATGAATTATTCATCTACAAAACGAATGAATGATTTTGGGTTAGAAGTTCTTGAATTTGAGTGAATACTGTTCTGATATAGGTTCGTCATAACAATATTCAAACAATGGGAAAATGAATTGAATTCAAATAAATGGAAAATTTGTTTAGGTGTATCTGAAAATAGTTTTTTTTTCAATTTACCTCTGTACAAACGTACATATGTATGTATGTGTTGTTGTTCCCTATAACAATATGAACAAACTGGTTTGCAGATAACTATAACCAAAATGAGTTTGAATGATTTGAATCTTTTCCCATTCGTTCACCTTCTTCCATTAAAACAAATTGTTTATTCATAAATTACAAAATTCAACACGCTGAGCGTTTTGCATATGAAGTAGAAAATTCAAATCTACTGCACTTTGGTTGGCTAAAAGTTTGAATCAACTCATGCAGAGGTCTAGTATGTATACATATATATGGTCCTATTAGCAAAATTTAATTTTCGTTTTCTTTTCGTTGTTTTCTATTATTGTTGGAATTTTCCCCTTCTTTCTTTTTGCTTAAAAATAGATTAAGCTTACTTCCTAAGTTCGAAAATTTTATTTAATTTAATTAATTTTTATTATTTTTTTTTTTTAAGATTATGTTTGGGCCCGAAGGACTCACCCACGGTTGCAGCAGGCTTGTGTGAGGCTCTGCTGTTGTTGTTGATGTTGTAACCGTTGTTGGTGTTGCGCCTGTTGCTGTGGCAGCCGTTGTCGTTGTTGTTGTCTCGCCCGATTTTTGGTGGCGACGTTGTTGCAACCGCTGCTGAGGAGTAGTAGTTGTAGTAGTACCCGGTGGTTGTGGTTGTGGTTGTTGCTGTGGCTGCTGCTGTGGCAGCCATTGTGGTCGACACTCGTTGCTGTCGCTGCTGATGTGGCACTGTAGCGCGTTGTTTTTATCGTAGCTATGCGGCGATGTTGTACCCGCTGCTGTGGCGGTTGTTGTGACTGAGCGCGTTTTTTTTTTACTGTAGCGCGCTGTTGATGTCGTCACGCGTTATGACCGCTGCTATGCGCCTTGTTATACCCGCTGCTGTGGCGGTTGTTGTTACTGTAGCCGCGCGTTATTGTTACTGTCGCGCTCTTTTTTGTGTCCCGCTAATGTGGCGGTTGTTGTAACTGTGAGCGCTGTTGCAGCCTTGTTGTTGCAACCGCTGCTGTGGCGGTTGTTGTTACTGAGCGCGTTGTTGTTGCTGTAGCGCGCTGTGACCGCGGTTGTGGCGGTGTTGTTGGCTTCGCGCGTTAGTGCCCCGCTGCTGTGGCGGTTGCTGTTACTGTGGGCGTTGTTGGCTCGCTGTTGTGGCGTTTGATGTTGTTGATCTGCGCAGGTTGAAGTGGAATGGATCTGCTGGAGAAAAAGATTACTAGTTAGAGCGACTCAGATGGGAGATTTGAAAATAGAGTGAAATTTGTATTGTGACATAGAAAATGTACGCGCGGGTTAGGCCATCCACAGTATTTTTGCGAAGCACACCTACCCCATGGACAGCATTGGGCCACGTTCCGAAAACTATGTACCCTCCATTCCATGGTGACTGGTGGGATGGTGAAAAGAACTTCGCCTTACCCCCGTGCACTCAAGGATGAATTCAGCCAAAACACTTAATCTATACGAACGATGGTTTAGTGTTGTAGAGTATGAATTATACGCTTTCATTTTCAATAAAAATCGCGTTTATATAAACTCATAGAAATATTAATATATTTAAAATTAGGACTAGTGGAACATCTTGTGGCTGGTGTGAGGTAATTATGCATAGAATAAAAGCCTCCATAGACAAAAGCACCGTACAATTAGCCGGACATTACCCCAGTTGCTGTTTGACAACTTACTTTGTCAACTGTACTACCCTGGCGTAACCAACAGCAGCTCCTTAGCCACCAACTACACTTATTATACGTGAGGAAGACTTACCTGGCTCGTGCTAATGATGATGGTTGTATAGTTGTCGTACGGCTCCATATGCCAGTGGCTGGTGGTTGCTAGACGCCGATCTCGGTATGTCAAAATATGAATAATAATGCCGCCAGTAAGTTTTAGTGCAAAGGAAAACGTAGCTGTCAACTAGTAAGTTGTCGCAATATATGCCAAGATATAGATGGATACGAACATTTTGAAATGGTAATCAAATAAAAAAATTTAATTTTTACGACCAATTTCCTGCATTGGTAAATGATGCAGACATAATTGAATTTCAATTTCGCAAATTGAGGCTGAGTGAAGGTAACTTCAAAAACCTTACCAATATAGAACGTTTTTGGGATCAAGAAAGTTTGGTTAAAAATGCATTGGTTGAAGCGGCCTTAGGAGAATTATGTGATTTAGTTTATAACATTTTTAATTAGTCTGCCTCACAGCTCCGCAGCAGCTGAGTGCAAATTTTTTGATTTAACATTAATAAAAACGAAATTAAGAAACAGATTATAATTTAAAACTTTAAATAATATAATGTTAATATGAAATAAATAATCGCTATAAAAACTGAATTGGCATATTTTCTTGATAAAAAGGAAGAAAGTCCACTCAATTTCCCGATGTAATAAAAATTGGCCAATTTTTTTACCATTTGGTCCATTTTTTGGTCCGAAAAATAAATTGGAAATGGCAACCGTGCACTGCACTGCGAAACCAACAGACTTTTACAGATGTAACGCTATGCGTTGGGTAACCGCCTACACGCATAGCTCGTTTAACAGATTCCTTATGTGATAACTCTCATAACAGCGTAAGAAACAGACTAAACAATGCGCAAACGGAATATAAACAATAACAAAAGGTGCAATAACTGCGTGTGAACATCGACAGAATATTGTGGCAAGAATATGTTGCATGTTCACACCGATGTTTAAATAGAAAAGGAAATGGAATCGATAACGTGTTATTGGAATATAATTCAATCTTTACTAAGATTCTAATATATGTGTTACCTTCGAAGAATTGATGGGGTGTGGTGGCTGGAACGTGCTCTTCCTTGGAGTCTCGCAAAAGAAGGGAGTAGTCTACTTTTCTATTTTTTAACGTTAACCTATCCAACTGTTTATTAAACAAAAGGGAAACCTTAGTAGAGTTAACCGTTCGGCGAAGGGGCGATTAACAGGAGGTAAGTTATCGTAACGTTAACAGAGTTTAGGCCCGAGGCGTAAAAATGCCGTCCCTCTTGTGGTAAACAACATCTAAAGTGGACTTGAACCAGCCACCATGCTCCATCGTCTTAAGAATTCTACATTTCAAAAATATTATAGATTAAACATTCCTGCTTCTGATCTTCATTTGTTGTACCTATGTCTATAGTATGCTAAATGGAAATGAAAAGGATGTTTAAAAAATAGAACGTGAATTTAAAACTTCAGTTGCACTTTTTATTAAATTCAGGATATTAATGATATTACATGGTTATAATCACAAAAATGAAGAAAAAACTGTATTAAAAAAAAATTATTAACATGCGTCTGATAGAACCCACCCAAAGATAGTATTTTGCGCCAGCAGCGGACCCATTATACTCTCTGGTATAGCGCCAAGGTATATTTTTGGGTATACATCTGCTCCGAGTACAAGACGCACCAGAGCAGGGATATGGAACCTTGAGTCAGCCAATTTAAGACTGGCGTATGTACCGGAGATTGTGCTGTCAATGCTGGTCGTCGGCGTACGCGTGTGAAATTGCATACGGCGGTTGTGTGTGACGTCTATTGCCCGTGCTTGCCGAGCATTTTTATGAAGCAGCCTTTGTGGTCGTTAATGGCTGTCACGCTTAAGTGTAGCTCACAGGCGAGGTCTTCTGCTATAATTGAAGTCTCAGCGCATGGATCGATGAGCGCTCGAAATAGTTGACTGCGTGCTCCTGCTTCGACCTTTACCACTGCCGTTGGTGCGATCGGAGTTAGGCACTATAAGCTCCACGACGCTACAGATTCCTTTCGCATGACACCAGACCGAAAGCCGCTTCTGTTTGGAGGCTGGAATGCCCGAGATTCTACTCTTCTGGGTTGCTGTGAACCATGATGGCGTTTTACACGGCGTCGAGTTTGAATTCGCTGACGACCATGCGCAGTTTGGAGAGGCTGGATTTCTAATCCGCCCCACTGTATCAGGTCATTCTGCTCAAACGGTCTAAAACTCCGCAGTTCCGATCCGCTGGCTGTATCCGGATGGAGTGCATCAGACTCCATTCCGTACGACTCTTCTGGTACTTCTTACTCTTGATCTAGGCGTAAAGCACCAATTTCCGCTCCGACCTCAAACGCTTCTAAAGAGATGACGTCGCTATCGTCATCGTCGTTGATCACACTCCTTGGTGCCCTGCGCTGCTTACGGGTTTTTTCAACTGGTTGATCGATGTGAAGCAACGTATGATGGTCTTCGTTGCAACGTCAGTGTCTCCCCTTGTTACTGCAAACACGATTCGCAGTTTTATTGTTCGAGCGTATAGTCGTGTTGTCGGAATCGGTGTATTTTTTGCGAGAACTTTCGGTTGCGTATCGTCGTTCCGTCGTTTCGACGCGTGTTTTGACTAAGTGTTGTGACAGTGTTTTGCAGGATATTGTTTTCTGCTGCGAGCAATTGCTGCCGGTGTAATTGGATGTTCCGTCGTTCGTCGCGTTGTCTGTCGTTTCGTCGCAGTACAGTAGTACATTTTTTGCCGCTGCGAACAATTGCTGCTGCTATGATTTGGGAATTCCGTTGTTCGTCGCGTTGTCGGTCGTGTGTAGTAGTGTATTATTTGCCGCTGCGAACAGTTGCTGCTTTGGGTGACCTTGAACTTTAGGTGCATTATTCGTTATTCGGGCGTTTTTGTTGGGCGTCATATAGTAGCGCTGTTTTTCCGCTGCAGACAATTGCTTCTATTGTGATTTGTCGTGGTCGATCGTTTTTGTTTTGATTGCCCAAAGGACCCAGTGCCTTGTGCCGCTGCCTTGTGCTGCTGTGGTATTTTCGACGTCCCGAGTCGGTCGATTTTTTTACGTGTAAATTGGTGTTCCGATTGCGGTTCTTTTGTTGGTTGTGTGTTTCGCTAGTGTTGTGTATTTTAGTAGTACTAGTGACGGCAATCCCGAAAAATTTTCGGCATCATTTCGGAACCGGTATTTGGGACTGAAGTATATTTGCGTTTTTTTCGGGATTTCTGAGGATGTTTGCGAAATTCGAATTTTTTTGGATTTTCTAGTTTAAGGTATTTTAGGGCGTTCTAAGGTGTTTAAGCTGCTTTTTGCGTGTTTTTGGACGCTGCAGCACAGTTGCGCGGTGTTGGGAAGGTGCGGTTCGCATTCTTCCGCATCGTTGTTCCTGGAGGATTCTCCAAAAGTGCTGGTTGAGCATTTGCTCAGCGTGAGGAACATTTCCGTGCTAATTGCTGGAAACCATTTGGTGTGTCGTGCTGTGGCCCAGTGCTTTTTCGGGCTTCGGGTTTTGGTGGATTAATTGAGGTCAACTTTCTGGCCAATTGTGTTTTTGTTGCTGTACTGGGACTGTGACCTTGTGCAGAAAGAAAATTCTGGTTGCAGCGGTATAGTTCACGGTACGGTTCAGCGTAGTAACCGCGTCGGCCGACCTTTCCCCAAGCGGGGAACTTGTGTTCCGTTTGCTGGGACTTAGTGGTGGCCATTGCCAGGCTTTTAGCCAAGGCGTTTTTGTTGTGGGCTACGTCACTGCACTAGCTGTAGCCGTCCGTTAGGTTGCTGCTACTAGGGAGTGTGTCTGCGCTAACCGAGTGTTAGTGAGTAACCACTTTTATTGGGGGCATGCTCTCTTGACATCTGTCGGTTTTCTTAGTTTGTTCTTGTGTCTGGTAGTGCAGCGGATCGGCAAGCCAGTGGTGAAGGTAGAAGGCCGGTATGGGCAGTGGTGACTCGGATGGGTCAATGATTGTGGATGACTCTTCGTCGGGAGCAGAGATGTGCTTTCAGGCAAACCGGCCGGTGTCCCCATGGTGTCGACCGCTTGTTCGATTTATGGAGTTCTTGTTGCCCGTGCGCTTTACAGACATTGATGATGGAGCGGCTAATTCAAATGAATTGTCAGGGTGGCTATGCCGTCATGTGCGACGTAGGCGCATTGTTGTTGGAGGAGAGCTGCGGCATTGCTATGCTCCAGGAACCCTATGCCACACACGGTGTGGCCTCCCTTTGGACTTCCAGGTTTACAATAGTATCTATTGTAAGTTTGGTGGGCCCTTGGAGCCTTACCCTGCTTACCTTGACACGGTGCTACTACTCGCAAGTAACACGCCTGTCGTCATCGGTCTTGACGCGAACACTTTCTTCCCCTTTCGTCGGGACGTCGAAGCCGGCAGCGGGGGAGGTGTTTGGCGAATCGGAGACAGTAAATGAGGTGGACATTTTGAATGTTCCAAGCGAGTGGCTTACATTCGACGGTCCAATGGGTGCCAGCGATATAGATGTTACTCTGCAGCAGGCAGTAGGGAATTCAGTTTTAATTGGAGTGAGGGGCGGATGGGGTATAAGTGATCAAAATCGTATATAAAAATAGCTGTTTTTTGTTAAAATACAACGTTTTAATGATTATGAAAAAGCTGGATTCAAGTGTCAAGCACTGGAAGCTTTGCTCACCACCTGGTGTGCCTTAAGGAGCGCCTTGTTGATGTTGTGGGAAAGATACGTCGCATCCTGAGATGTGACTGTGGCCTAGACCGGCGTGCTGTTCGTGCCATCTATCAGGGCCTATTCGTGGCTTGTGGAAATTTTGGGTCCGCTATTTGGTACGAGGCAGTTATGAAGGTGGCAGGTGGCCAAAAGGTCCTGTCCTGTCAGAGGGTATTGTTGCTGGGTTGCCATTGACTGAGTGCATTTCGGACGGTGACTTGGAGAGGGGCTTTCTTGAATGCAAACGGTTGCTGGATGACAGAGCGGTATGTGGCAGGACCGTTGGGATGTTAGTCCCAATGGTCGTAATACGTACCGCTGCATTCCGAGTGTAGGTTTTATGGGAGAGAATCCGGACTTCAGGCATTGCTTGAGTTAGGATTTTCCAC